GTGTGTGTGAGTGTGTATATATATATATATATATATATATATATAATGCATTTAAATATTTATATTTATCATTTAGGAAAGTGAATGTATATTTAACATTTATATTACATCAAACTAATTGCTATATGTCGGTAGCAACATGGGAGAAGCACACAAAAGACTTTACCTGCATACTTTGTCACACTTTAATACAAACATCCCTTGACTTTTGTCAAATATTTGTAAAAGGAATATCAAGAAAAAAAGTAATCAATCAGTCAAGCATTAGCATATCATTATCATTTAGGAAAGTGAATGTATATTTAACATTTATATTACATCAAACTAATTGCTATATGTCGGTAGCAACATGGGAGAAGCACACAAAAGACTTTACCTGCATACTTTGTCACACTTTAATACAAACATCCCTTGACTTTTGTCAAATATTTGTAAAAGGAATATCAAGAAAAAAAGTAATCAATCAGTCAAGCATTAGCATATCATTACAGCATTACTGTCTTCTAGTTTACCAACCAAAGTTGAACTACACATTGGCTTATGACATGATTTTGACAGTGTGAATTATATTTAAAATGTTAAGCTTGCCAACAAACCACTGCATTAATATATGGTCTACAATTGTTGCTACTGATAGGTTCAGCAATGCTTGCTAACTGCAAGTCTCGATGACACTGTCTCCGCATTTGCTGACAGTTCCTTTAAAAAGCTTCTGACACCAGGATATGAGAACACCTGGCTTAAAGCAAAAACTACAAACACTAAACTAAATGCAAAGGTCAACTAAAATTTTCAATTGAATAAATTAATAAATAATAAACATTTATTGACTGCAAAAATACTAATAGAGAAAAAGATGCATGAAGTGCAGGAGGGAGGAGTTTAAAATCTCATGGGCTACTATTTTGTAACACCATCCATTGTGATTATACTGAATTTTTAGTTTAGTTCAGCTGTATTGGCATGACAACTGAAGAATAGCATCACCAAATGATATATTCTTACACTCTTTCATTTATGTAGGCTTGCATAACTGTTAAAGATGCACACTGTCTCTATGAGGCAGGAGGAAATGTAGTGCTACTATAAAAAAAAGAAAAAAAAGAAATGGGTACTTTTACCTCATACACATATGTAACATTTACCAACATTACATGTGTACACATTTCAAACAGATTACTGCTAAAATTGTAAAATGCTAGTATTACAATAAATGCAGTGCAGAAAACTGCTTTATATTGGGCTATAACAATCCATACTGCACTCAAACAAGCAGAAACTGAAAACTATACAAGAACATTATAGATGCAGGTCAGCGATACCTGCAATAAAGTTCCCCTTAAATATTAAGTGTATTCAAAAATAATAATAAAAAAAGAGTTTAGTAAAATATTCTAGTTATCTCATAACTAGATGATTGCATCTATTGCTACATAAACTGCGTTTTAATTTTCTGTCCTCTACAAACAATCCCAGACATTCAGAGCAAACAAAAATTCAGGTTTCAGTTAGCTTTGCCTTTTCCCTTCACCAGACAGTGACATCATTCTGAAAAACAGATAATAAGAAGAGTCTGAAGATAAAACACGAATAAGAAAACTTGTATCATATCATATATGGTATCAAAATTCATCAAGATGGATGAAATGACACCAAAAAAATGATTTAATGATGAAATAAGTCTAAAAAAAGATGTTAAATAAAAATAAAAATCAACAGTTTTACCCAATATGCGTGTTACAGTATGTATTGTGTAGTATTGTACCGTAGTATTACTATTTTTATGATGTACAGAGTTGCTGCCTACAGTATATAAATCGTTCCAAATCGGTCATTTAATTTCAATTAGGATGCTGCCTTAGAAGGCACCGTCTATGTAGGCAGCAGAAAGCAAATCATCTCACTAGGGTTCGGAAGAGAGCCTGTGTGTGTGTGTGTGTTTATAACAGACCTAAGCGTAGTAACAGGGGGAGACCAGCAGATCTGTGAGCACCAGCAGCTGGTCATCTGTGAACTTCTGCTTGTGTTCCTGCCAGTTATCATGATGAGTGCGACGGAAATCCGACAGGGTTTTCTTCACAGTCATCTAGAGAAACAACAAATATTTATTTATATAAACAATCTTGTGAGTCACTCATTCATAGTAACAGGCTCTCGGTTTAGCTAGTATTCTCAGTATTGCAGTTGCTGGTCTGCCTTTGCGATCCATACAATTGCTTCCAAATGCAGTTGCATGAGTCATGTTCAACTTCCAGAAATGTTTAAACTTTTCATCTTTGCTCAGTCAATCCCTGGCCCCCTGCAGACTGCAATCAGCTGATCATTCCCAATCAACCCCCATTCTCTCCACAGCTAACAGCAGGAAAGGAGAAAGAGCTGTACCTCTATAGGCTGTGTGTCGTTGAGGTGGGCACTCAGGTCCATGAGGATCTGGGGCATCCAGGTGGGCACATCATACGGGCTGGACAGGATGCAGGCACTCAGACCCAATACACCTGCATGCCGCCGCACCAGGTCTACACACACACAGGAAAAATGAAAGATTCAAGTAGAGTTATTTAAGGTATATAAATATATCTAGAGTGAACACAGGTAAATTCATCCGAGTGACTAAAACAGCCAAAGTTTACCTGAATTCACCCTAGATATAAAATCATTTATAAAAGCATGAGACAACAATTAACATCTGAAATCTATTTGACCAAAGTCATGATGTAAAATGAAAAACGTATGTGTGTGTATATATATATATATATATATAACTAAAATGAATTTGAAGCATAACATTGAAAGGTATGAAAAATTTTAATTCATTTTAAGATTTGCTAAAAATTACATTTAACAGTGTTTTCAAGATTAACTTTAAGCATTAGACTACAAAAGTAATTTAAATGTAAAACGTAGGAAAAATGAGCATGCACAATTAAATATCCAGTACTGGATTACATATACTATATACTGAACAACACTGATAATTTAAAAATTCTATAATATCTCTACTTAAATAATTTAAACTTTAGAACTTAAAAGCATTCAAAGATTAATCAAATGTTTCCTGAGCATTCCTGATGATTTCTGAAGGATCACGTGACAATGAAGACTGGGAAATGGCTCCTGAATATTTAGCATTGCCATCACAGAAATAAATATTTTAAAATATATTCAAATACAAAACAATTCTTTTAAATTGTAAATATATTTTACAATATTACTGTTTTACTGTATTTTTGATCAACCTTGGTGAGTGTAAGAGACTGCATTCAAAAGCATAACAAATTGCTGACCCCAGACTTAGTGTATGTACTGTATATATGTCTGTGTGATCATTACCAGCAGAAGGGATCGTGTCCACCACTGAGCCCAGCTCTCTCCTCTTGCGCTTGGGCAGACGGGTTTTGCTCAGGGCCTCAAAATGGGCCAGCATGGGTTCGTCAATGCTGAGAAAATTACACTGCAGGAATCCACTTAAAGTGGTGGCGGCCATCTCCCTCACCTAAAAACATGAAGAGAGACAGACAGAGAGAGAGAAGGAAAGAAAGATCATTACAGAAGATTGTTACAGTTCAGGCTTGTGGCCAAAGGTTCAGACAGTTTCTCTTTTCAGTTATCTAAAGCGTGGGAAGTGCAGAGCAGGGACAGACGGGGTCTTTTGTGTCACAACTTTTCCTTAAAAAAGAAGAATACAAGAAGTGTTGGAAATTTATGTAACATAGTAGAACGGTGCAATCTGCATCACAGAACAAAACACCATGTTCCAGAGCAGGACTCCAGTCAGGTTGAAATGGGCGAATAAGCAAATTTAGAGCTTATTACCATTGATGTGCTAAACAACTAGTGTGAACAACTAGTCATCTAACGGGTATGGTGGACCAGTAGTGCATAACACAACAAAATCTCCAAAACAACAAAATCTCCACAACACAAGACAGGACTAATTTCATTGTGTTGTGCTAATTTTGCGGCTTGTTTCCATTGCATTGTTCTAATTCCATTATGTTTCAGCTTGTTTCCATTGCGTTATGCTAATTTTGTTGTGTTGCGGCTTGTTTCCATTGTGTTGTGCACTACTGGTCCACCGTAAACCGGTCTCAAAGAAGCCCTGTGTAATTAGGCAAAAAATCCAGAGATATTAAAAATACACAGACAGCCATAAAAGCTGACTCAGCAATAGCAATTCTCTGTGCATGTCTATGAGAGTTTAGGACACGCATTTGTGCTGACAAAGAAACGATGGCTATTGTTTTGTAGCTTCAAACTCTTGTGATCTTGGCCTGTGTGCTCTGATCTTTAACCTTGAAACAGTCACTGTCACGTTCTGATTGGCTAGTACTAATCAACCGAATGTCTGTATCACATCACAGAGGGTCGTATCGTATGCATCATGGAATCCAGAGTGCTTTTATTTAATAGGCTGAATTAAAGGGTGTAGTTTTCTTCCACTCAACCCTATTTTTTTCCCCCTTTAGCCTCTTCTCTCTCTGTTTGCCATCCTCTCCTCTCTGAAAATTTGAACATCTATCACTATGGAAACAGAATATTGCTGCAGCTAGGAGTTGCTATGGTAACAGTAAGAGGGATCGAAGGATAGAGAGCATGTGTGTGAGAGCGAGAGAGAGAGAGAGAGAGAGAGAGAGAGAGAGAGAGAGTAAAGGAAAACAAGGGAGCGCTACATCATTGAAAAGACAGAATGGAGAAAGAGACTTTCACCACGGAGGCTTACGTAATTGGCTTTCGACACATTTAACCTTAGCGATTATACTAAAACACACACATGAATTTAGATATACTGAAGATATATAATCTTGAACAGTAATCAGGCTTAATTTAAGAGAAAAAAAAGTCTTAAACATGCAAATACCTGCACACATTATGAGAGTGAAATCATTATATGTGAATATGGCCTGTGCATTTATGTTATGCATAATAAGGGCCAACTATGTGGAATATATATATTTGTCTTCAAAAAATACATTAACTACAGAAACTTAATTTCCATAGTTTGGGGGAAAAAAACACTATGCAAGTCAATAGGGACCAACTGAAGGTGAACTATCCCTTTAATATTTTTAAAATGTAAGTTGTTAATGTGATGGCAAAGCTGAATTTCCATTATTCCAGTCTTCAGTGTCACATCTTTCAGAAATCATTCCAGTATGCTGATTTGGTTCTTGTTAAAAATCAATTAAAAAAATAGTTGTGCTGCTTAATAATTTTGTACAAACTTTGATGGATTTTATATGATTCTCTGATGAATATAAAGTTCAAAAGAACAGCATTTATTTGAAATATAAATCTTTTGTAACATTATAAATATTTTGCTGTCACTTTTAAATGTAAAAGGTAGAGTAGCACATTTTAAAAGGTCCACACTAGTGAAATGGTTTTAAAAAATTTTTTATGAACGAATGAATGAATGATGAATAAATAAATAGGTAGGTTGAGAGGTAAATGTAAAGTTAGGGTAAAAATAGGGTAAAATAATGTAATTAAATTTAAATTCTAATAAAATTAATATATAAACCATTTTAAATAAGTACAAATGTGCAATGCCAATTTATCTCACATTTTTTGTGCATGTTAACATGGTTAAAATTAGGGATGCACCGATACCACCTAGTAGACATCCTTAACTCCATTCTGCTGTCTGTTGTTGGTGTTTCTTTGTCTGAATATGGCGCTTATCACATGCTGTGTGGTATCGGCGTTTGGTATCGGGGCATTTTAACGAGTACGAGTACAGGAGCTCAGTATCGGGCCCGATACCGATACTCGATACCAGTATTGGTATCGGTGTATCCCTAGTTAAAATGCTTTGCTTCATATGAGAGAAACTTTGAAAAGTATTCCAACTGCCAAAAAAATGCCCACTCTCTCACTATGCTATCACAATGAATGAAGTCTTCATTGGTGAGTTAGTGATTCATTTTATTCCAATGCTCTGCTGATTGGCTGTCATAGTTAAAATGCTGTTCATAAAGTTCATCCATTTAATTTATGAATTTTATTTGATTGAAGAACACAAATAATTCATAATACTCAGTATAAAATGACTAGGCAAGGCTGTACTCTCATATTAGGCATGGCAGATGATTGGTTGTGCCCCATAGAAATAAAGAGCCAGAGACACCCCTAGTCCTCAGAAACTGCGAAACAAACCCTTATACATGTGCATATATCAGTGTGCAAATTTATTCACACACCTCAAGTTGTTCATCCTCCAGCAGGCTCAGTACTAGTGCTCTCACGTCACTGACGGCCTTGGCATTGCTGAGGAAGGTGAAAAGATTGTAGAAAACCATGATCTGCAGGTAGGTGAGAACGGTGTAGTGCGTGCCATGAGCTGCTCCTCGAAATCTGTAACAAACACCACCATCTGCTGGTCAGATTACACATTAAACCCTGGCATTCATACATAACTCACACTAAAAGCATATTTAGTGTCTGTGTGTGTGTGTGTGCGCATTATGGGCATTGGAAAGTCACCTCCTCAAGTGCATTGAGGACTTGTGGGATCTGCTCTGAGTACAGCAGTCCCTGGGACATGAGAGACAGACATGTCTTAGCATCTCTCTTCATCTCATCATAGCTGTCGTCATTCTCCACTGGAGCAATCTAGAAAGAGAGATAGAGACAGACTTAAAAATACAAGACTTGTAGACAGTTAACTAAATTACAGACAAAATTGGGACTCACTTTAAAGAGTAGAGGGAGGAGACGAAGCTGTTCTGGGACCACAGAAGAGAAGGAGCGTCCAGCACTGGTCATCAACCACTTCAACACTATCACAAATACAAAAATATTTTTAAAATACCACTTCTGCACACTCAAACATTCACATTCACACACAAAATACACACCAGTTTTGAGTAATTTGATGGCTTGTGTCCTCTCGTCTTGATCTCCCTCTGTGTTCTCCTCTACCACGTGGTTCTGGATCTCCTCCTCGCCCTCCGTTAAAGGCTTGAGTCTGGTCAGCACACGCTCGGTGAACTCTGCGATGCGCGGGGATGTGGTGGGCTGAGTGTGTGGCAGGTTCACGTCGATCATGAAGATGTAGGTGAGCACACTGAGAGACAGGACGTGAAAAGAGAAAGAATGAATGGCAGTTGCTGAGACCAAAGCAAACAATGACTTTGAAAAGACTGAAGGTGAAGAAAATACATATAATGTTGACTTGATTTTTGCATTCAAGTACATACCTGCCGATGCGTTCGCGTACATTCTTGTAGACCTGAGTGAGTTTGGGTTCTAGGTACTGTAGTAACCTGTGAAGCAACTCTGGAACTCTCCATTCCTGCTGAGCAAGACCTCCCTGCAGCACATACAGACGGCTGAAAAAGAGAGATGACATTGCATCCAATTGAAATCCAAACTTAGACATGAAATATAAAGAAGTCACATTCAGCATTTCCCCTTTTTAATCCATTCAGTACATTCAGCTTTCAAAAGAGGAAGTGTGTGGTAGTGATGCCATACCAGGCATCCACAAATGAGCCTCCTTCTCCTGTGACCGGAGATTCCATCAGCATCTCAAACAGCCAGTGCAGCTTTCGTGGGTCTCGGCTCTCCTGTACAACACATATATTTGTACACAGGGAATATTTTTGGGATAATATTAAAGAATATACTGTTCTAATAGAATGTACTGTTTAAGAGTTTTTGGTCCGTAAGATTTTTTCAAATGCTTTTGAAAGACATCTCTTATGCTCACCAAGGCTGCATTTATTTGATAAAAAATACAGCAAAAACATTAATACTGGTAAATATTATTTTAATTTAAAATAGAAAACAGTTATTTTAATCTACATATGGTAAAATTTATATTCATGTGATGGTAAAGCTAATTTTTCAGCAGTCAATACACCAGTCTCCAGTGTCACACGATCCTACAGAAATCATTCTAATATGCCGCCGATTTGGTGCTCAAGAAACATTTTCAGGATTCATTGATGAATAGAAAGCTCTAAAGAGTAGCATTTATTTGAAATAAAAATAAATTGTAACATTACAAATGCCTTAACTGTGACTTCAGTATTGATTTTTAACTTTAACATTCAAAAGATTGGGGTTAGTGAATGTTTATGTATATTAACTGATTTTCCCTCAGATTTCAGTCATTATAAGAATATGAGATTTAAATGTAATCCACACGGCATATGTATATAACAGTGTATGTTTTTTCTTGAAAATATTTGTGCAAAAACTTAACAATATGAGGCATACAGATCTACATCTTACTAAAAGATGAGTTTGTGCTCTAAAAAGAGTGACAAAGGTGTCCTTACGCAGGCAGTGGCGATACAGGTGCCCCAGTCCGCATACGTCTCAATGGTGATATTGGAAAGAGCTTTACGGAGGAGTAGACACAGCAGAGCCCACAGTTTTTCCACCTGTAACAAACACATACAAACTTGAACACATCATTCTGCACCAAATGGTGTGTAACAGTGATGTTGAGGACTCAAATCCTCTTAACTTTGTTGTACTGCACCTATATTTTATGCATGTATGCTAATACCTTGCTGTAGCTCCAGTGTTTGGAACCCCTGATGAGTCCAGAGATGATCTCTGCAACACAGCGCTGGGTGCTCTCATGGGAATCTGCAACCAGACGCTCCATATGAGGCTTCAGCAGAGGCAGGAAGGCATCATCAAAGTTCCGAAAAAGACCCTTGTGACAACACAAGACGATGTTTATGATGGAGTCCATTTTTGTTGATTTTTGGCTAATTGACTGGGTGTCAGACATGGAACTGGTTGTCAAACTGGTTTAAACAAGCCTGAAGACCTGGCTCAAACTTCTACAGTCTATAATCAACATTTTAATGGGTTTGAGAAACAGACTGCAGAGGCACATCTAAAGACTCTCACCTTAAAGAGGCAAAATCGTCGTGAGCTGAATTTATCTTTCCCCTTTCTGTCCTCCAGAGACAAATACTGGATGAACTGATCTATGAACTGCTGGTCTGAGAAATGATTGTATATGATCTGTTCACTCTACAACACAGAAAACAGGCATGAACAAAACAAAAACGACTGAAATAAAAAAACTGAAATGAGGTGGTACAAGTTGTTCTGAAGTGGTTGGGTTTAGATGTAATTTGGTTTGAATATTTGCGTACCTCATTCATCTCTTCTCTTGTTTTGCCCTGTTTGGGCTGTTCCTCAAGAGGGGCATAGAGCAGCAGCTTCCTAAAAAAAGAAATAACCATGAAATAAAACAAATTTTGTATTGATCGTCAATCAAATGCTAAATATACACTGTTGTCCAAAAGTTTGATTTTCAGCAACCGATACTCTAGTCTTCAGTGTCACAATCCTTTCTTATTAATAACACATAATCATTTCTTGTTAATATCAATGTTGAGAACAGTTGTGCTGCTTAACATTTTAGTGATATATATTTTGTCCAGTTTTCTTTGATGCATATAAAGTTCAAAAGACATCTTCTGTAATACTGAAAGGGTCTTCCTTTTCCTTGTGTCATTTTCTTTGCATTCCTCACACAAAGCTATTGTATGGCTTCAGAAGACATTTAATATGGTGCACAAATCATGTTTTTAAGCACTGTAAGCATGTGTACCGTGGCCATGTGGAATAGCCCCAGTGGGTTTTCTCAATGAAGCAGCATTCATTCCAGTCCTGCTGGGAGCGCGGCAACCTGCTGCTGTCATACCGCAGCCACTGGTTATCAGGCCTGTCTCCCGCCAGCAGAGAGCTTAGAGCTTTACCACCACCTACATGAAGAACAGGAAGAAATATAACACAAATCTCAGACATTCTTTGATATGTGTCCATTTACTGAGAACATATAGTCATTTATTACTGTACAGTTAGTGTTCTCACATGACTGCAGCGAGGTTTTGAGCTCAGATATGTCGTAGGGATTCACTGCCACTTTCTTGTGAGGTCTCTTGAGCTGCTTTAGAATGCCACTCACTGCTGATATCGCACCCTGAAAAATAAATAGCAGACGCCAGAATGAAGTGTCTTTTTGTGTAGCTTTCCTTACACACATATGTTTATAGGTATAATTGTGACAGAATGCACACACAAACACACATTGCGAACTAAGAGCGAGTCGTGGTTCAGGCTCTCAACGAAAAAGAGGACTGCAGAGGAAGGCAAGGGGTGGTCATCTCTCAGCATCAGAGAGAGGAAGCCGATAGTTATCTGCTCAAACTTCCAGGGCCTGCCAAATAAACAAGCATATGACCAATGAATTTCCATTACTTTACCATCCAGACATTTGCTGTGCAGTCTAACCAGACACAATGAGTAGACATACAAGTTTCGGTCGTAAAGCCTGTCCAAAAGATCCACCACTAGCTTCTCATACTTCCTGTTAGGATTGATAAAAAAAACAACAACTACATTTTTGTGTATATCCACTGCTTAATGGGATATAAATTGGAAAGCATATTTGTATGTAGTTTATTTTTTGTATTTACTTACTGCACTGAGTCTTTGTTTTTCTGTTCCTGTCTCTTTCTTCCCTCCAGTTCCTCCTGTTCAGAGGCGGCACATGGAGTCGGTTCTGGGTTACTGGATTTCATCATTTTTAGAGCAACCTCCACACAGCTCTCCGGGATCTGAATATGAAACAAAAAAGAACAGTGTAAAGACAAATGTCACAATACAAATACCTTTACTTTTGTTATTGCTGCAGTTAGCATAGAAAGAAAAAGATGACGCTGATGTGTGATGTCAACAAACACATTAGCAAAAATCATTTTCACTTTATATTATCATGTTAATACTTTAAATTATGAACGAAGGCTTTCGGTTTACTTAAAGCTGAAGTGTGTCATTTCTTCTGACGTTTAGTAGATGTTTCTCCCTCATTTAGGCTACTATTTGCTGAACTCACAGAAAAGTCAATTCCGATGGTCTCGTACTGGCGGTGGATTTTGTCAGCCAGATCATCAAAGAGCCGGACGACTGAAGACTTCTCTAGAGACATTGAGGGGCTCATACCAGAACGCAAAATGGCAGGCCATGTGAGAGCAATGCAGTCCCAGTACTGCAGGTTAGCAAGACAGATCCCAGAGTGGTTCCCTAACAGACAGTACAAGGCACCCTGGAGAAGAGTAAAAAAGACATAGACAACATATGATCCTACTCAATTTTCAAAAGCTTGTCATATGTCATGTCATATGTCAGAATGATCAATAGAAAGAGAAAGATTCTTAGTTTCTTTCAGTGTATATTTATCCCGAACTGTGTAAGACCTACTTTGAATTGCTGCTGGGTGACGTCAGTGCGGTCTGGGTCCAGATACTCCAGCACCGCAGGGATGACGTCTCTGCAGCATAAGCTGTAGGTTCCCAGTGCTGTGAACAGCACGTTCTGAGCTTTACTCCTCACCTGAGGTAAAATATGGACTGTTAATGATGTATTCGTTGCTTTTGTGTGTGAATACATATGTATGTTTGTGTATATGGCCTTGCCATACCTGACTGTACCTGCTGGTGGACAGTCTAAGCAGGTCATTTATCAAGTCCTGATGAACACTCCTGTAGCAACATCCCTCCTTGGTCAGATTTCTTAACTGAAACACACAGGCACAAAACACACTCAAAACGACTGTAATCATAACAAAACATGCCGAAGAGCCCCAAAATATGCATTCTCGTTTTATGATTATGATCCCTAACCCTAACCCATCTCATGAAAACCTGTTCAGGTCAATAATTTTACCCTAAAATCAAAATAATTTTAGAGAAATATTTTTTCAATAGCTTTCATGACACATTCCACACAGTCTTAATTTTCTTTATGCAATTTATTATAGGATATATATGGAAGCCCGTTTCCACTGAATAAAAAATAAAAAAAGGTTATTTTGCGAGTTATAAAGTCAGAATTGCGTGATAGCCAATAAACTCACAATTGCGAGTTAAAGTCCAATTTTGAGGGGGGGGGGGAAGACTGATATGTTCTCAGAATTGCGACTATGTCTCGCAATTGTGAGTTTATATCACGCAATTCTGACTTTTTAACTCGCAGTTTATATCACGCAATTATGAGAAAAAAAAGTCAGAATTGTGAGATATAAAGTCGCAATTACCTTTTTTATTTTTTATTCAGTGGCGGAAACGGCTTCCATAGATATATTATTAGAATGCAGTAATAAATAAATCAATAAAATAAAAAATATGTCTGACAGGTTTTGTGAGATTCACCCAAATGCTCTTACCTCATGTTGCAACATGACTCTGTCTATGAGTAGAGCTCTAATGTGCTGTTTACTGCCATGAAGCTGGAGAGAAGAGAGAGTGTCAGTCAACTACATGTCAAATAAAGAGATTGGTAACAGATATTAAATGTGTGTCTAACCTTGTTCTCCATGGACTTCTTAATGAGACTGAAACTTTTCCAACGTGAGTCAAACTCATGTTTGTGTGAGCCTTTAAAGTGGAGCAGGTCGTTGATGATCTATAAAGAAAAAACACCATTCGTCTGTCATACCACCTGCTTATCACCAATACAATACTGTAAAAATCACGAGCATAAACCTGACAGACAAAAACCTGACAGTGTTGCAGTTCACCTTTATAATTGAGAAGAGGGATTTGATGTCATCCTCTGAGTGCTCTAGAGTGTGGTCTGTATGGATAAACATCATAGAGTTGAGAGACAGATCTACGGATGTTACAAAAAAATCTGTTGTATTAAAATGTAAAGTTTAAATCTAGAACAGGACTCAGTATGTTAGAGTAACTTACGTAGTAGAGGTCTAATCACCTTACAGATGTCCTCTCTGTAGTTCTCTCTAGACAGGTCTGCCACATAATCAATAATAAGCAAGCAACTAATTAATTAATCCGTATAGCTCCAGCACTGGTTTTAAACACAAGAAGGAAATGTTCACTCACCATAGTCTACTCCAGTGTAAACGTTTGTCTCGCATAGCTGAATCATACTGTTTATCCTGAAGTGAGAGGCATTGCAAGGTTACAATATTACTAAATTAATATGTTTAAAATAAAGCGCTTTATGTAACTGCACTATATTGTGCGTATGTGTCACACTCACTTCTCCGGCACAGGTTCTCCATTCAGTGGAGGCAGAAGGCTGCTTGCTCCCAGAAGGCAGTTATGAACAATGGACAGACTCTGTAGAACATCATCCCTAAAGAGACACAAAACTCATTAGCAAATTAATCTTTATCTCATCTCTTTTTCTGGAATGTACTTTTTTGTATTAATGCATTAATTAAAATTTGTCCATCTATGAAAGAAACAAAAAGATCTCTAAAGAGCTTAAATCAATCTTAAATCATAGTGTCTGATTTATCTCTTAATCAGGGATACATGAACATGTACCACAGGGGCCGGATACATTTAAAAACATTTGGATTTTTGCTCATATGAAACTGAAACTTAAATAAAAATATGAAAAATATAAAGTATTAAATAAATTACACAATTAATCTTTTGTTATAAACACAAACACATTCAGTCCTTTTAAAAAAAATTCAGTATAGTATGAACACATTTCTGGTTTGATGTTGATGAAGGGGAACGTACTGATGGGACTGTGGGGGTACGAATGAGTTCAAACAGATAACATGTTACCGTATCCTGTGGCTGACCTGCTGATGTCCTGTTCTCCCTGTGTGTGTTTCTGCAGATGCTGGAGTTCAGGTTTTAACAACAGATCCAGCAAATAAAAAACAAACTCTTTCTCTTCTGTGCTGGGCACGTGCCACTGGATGCCCAGGTTCAACAGGTCTCCAGGCAGACCCCAGTCCTGATCCAGAGAGGAGACAGAGACAACTAGTGCAACATCAGCCTCAATAACATAGTTTTTTTTTCTCCAACAAAAACATAAAAAAAAAAAGCAATAGTGACCAATGTTTTGTGCAATTAAGTATACTGATGATAACTGGTGTAATGTCTAAAATCATCCTTATCTTTTCTTGATCCACTTTTCTTTAAGACCTTAAGAAAAAAACATTACAAAGAAGTTTCATGGATTTGTTTTCATAAATTTAGAAAAAGAGGGGAGTAGTTTAGATTTTCTGAGAATGCTGAGGAGGAGTCAAGTTCAAATGAACCATGTAACAATACGTCAGTCAGAGAGGAAGAGTGACGTCTGTTTGTCTAAGAAAAGGTGCTCAGGTTAACCAATGCTAGATGGTGACGGAGCTCCACTAATCCATTCATTTACTCAATCATCTCATCTCTTCCTCTTTAGAGACATTTGATGGGATAAAATACAAGTAAAGCCAATTCACAGGAGCAAGCACAAATATCCTAGTGGGAACTTCCCATTCACACTGCTGTTGTGAATTTAAACATTTTGGAATTTTTTTATTATATTTTCAGACTTGTTTGTACATTTTTTATTACTATACTTTAACACTGATCATATTGTATTATTCATATAATATTAGTATTTACTCATTTATATCCACTAATTAATATCAACCCTAAAATGCAACATTTGTCACTTTGTAATAGAAACAATTAACCCATAGAAATTCATTTAAATTGGGAGTAGTGGAGTTTTTTTTTTTTTTTTGCTTAAATATGGTTCTAAATTTTTTTTCTCCAGAGAAAAATCATCTCCAGAGTTTCAGAAGAGATCTCAACGATATCTCCGAGTTTAGATTTACCAAGATACCAAAGTCATAATTTCACCTGAACACAGGCATTTCTCATCAAAGTACAAAACTAACTGGTCAAAGTTAGGCTTTTCACATCAGACAGCTCTGTACTGTACTGTATGTTAACAATTGTTTTCAAATGGACTCTTGGATACTCTGTGGATTCTTCAGGATTATGGCATCATATTTCAGATTTATTTTAAGCAGAGCTGAGCCTTGTGTCACTATGAGAGGGTTAGTGGCAAAATCGGGCACCTCATTTTCCACTTGAGGCTGACCTTAATTGGAAGGTATGTGTCAGTGTGCTGCTGGACCCCTCCGGACATGCTGCAGTACTCTCTGGGATAGATGAGGGACATGGAGCGCAGGATGTGATAGAGCAGCTTACAGGCCAGATTGTAGCCCTGCTTACATTTCAGGTGCAGAGTTAACTGAAGAATCTGCACCAGCTGAGACCTGTAGAGTAACAGTTGATCACCATCCACACGGGTCACCTACAGCCAGAGACACAAGGACTGTTATTTTATAAATATCTAGATACATTTATAGTAACAGGATTCCAGTTAGAAATAGATTTGTAGTTATAGATTCTAAAGTCAAGTTTTAGATTTCAAGAGTTCTAAATATATTTTTTTGATTTATAAACTTTTATTTCTTCAATTACAGGTGTATACTACCACTCAAAAATTTGGGGCCAAAAAGAATTTTTGAAGCGATCCTGAAAAACTTTTTTTTTTGGTTTCACAAAATTATCAAGCAGCACAACTGTTTTTAACATTGATAATAAAAAGAAATGTTTCCTGAGCACAAACTCAGCATATTATAATGATTTCTGAAGGATCATGTGACACTAAAGACTTAAGAGTTGCTAAAAAATTCATCTTTGCAATCACAGAAATAAATTACTTTACTGTTTTACTCTATTTTTAATCAAATAAATGTAGGCTTGATGAGCATAGGAGAACTCTTTTAAAAACATTACAAATTCTTAATAAACCCCAAAAAATATACATGTGTAAAGTTGAAATTCCACAGTTCTACATTTACATTTCTATATTTCTAGAGTTTGATTTACATTTCAAAAGTTCTATATTTATAGATAGATATTTTCACTTATAGATCGCTAGATTAAGATTTTTGCATTTCCAAAGATATTGATTTCCAGAAACACATTTCTAGAGCAAGCTAGCTAGATATCTACACATTGTAGAATCCAGTGCTGACCTCCGACAACAGCTGGAGGTTCCACATCAGCTCTTTATCCAGCTCCTCTTCATTTAATTCCTCTTCATCTGAGAACACATGGTATGTTAACAGGAAACTCACAACACATGTAGCAATACATATACTACCATTGACACATTACATGCAGGTGGAACTTACAGGTTGAGATTTGTAATATGGCATTACAGCAGTGGGGCAAAAAGAGTTTCAGAGCCTCTGCCGGGTGACACTAAAAGGAGAATAATCATTTAAACTGGTCAGCCAAACGTTTTGAGAAACACTATCAGCTGTGGGAGTCAATGGCTCAGGACACCGACCTTGGTTGCAGCTCGGCACATGTTCGCTACCGTCCGTCCAGCCACGTGAGTCTCAAAAATGTTTGTCGTGGCAAAGTTAAAGACTTTTTCCAGAGCCACCTATAAAAATAAAGGAAATATGTTCAAATATCATCACATAGTTAAAGCACTATGGAAATACACTTCCGTTCAAAAGTTTAGGGTCTGTAAGATTTTCATTTTTGAAAGCAATCATTACTTTTATTCAGCAAGGATGCATTACTTTGTTCAAAAGTGACAATGAAGACATTTAGAATGTTAAAAACTATTTCCATTTCAAATAAATGCAGTTTTTTTTAACTTTCCATTCACTAAAGCGACTAGAAAAATATGCATCATGGATCATGTGACACTGCAGACTGGCGTAATGCTGCTGAAAACTCAGTTTTGCCATCACAGAGAATAAATTAAACAATTAAATAAATAATATTTCACAATATTACCGTTTTTACTGTATTTTTCATCATAGAAAAAATACAGCATTGGTTAGCATAAGACATTTGGTGAGAAAAACATTTAAGAAAATCTTACCGACCCCAAACTTTTGAGCGGTAGTATATGTTATGACTAGGTTTAACTCCATGGGTACAGAGAGTGTGTTTATAATGACCTGGAATATTTCCATAGAGCATTGCGTGAGGATAGTGCTGAATGTGGAGGACAGGCCCAGCTCCACCAGACTCTCCAGATGAGTCATTTTCTCTGTCTCCATCTCCTCCCGGGTTTGTTCCAGTGTACTCGTGTCAATCAGTGCAAAACACCTAAATACACAAACATGAGAGGGAGAATGAGGATACAGAAAGAAATACACATGTACAGTATTCAGAGACAGTTCTGTACCTATCAATAAACTGAAGAACAAAGTCCTCAAACTCTGCTGAGGCTGAACACAACACTTTTTCCACCTGCACAAAAACATAGAATGAGAAAATTGCACATGAATTATGACAGTAAAAAGATCCTAATGACAGGAGGATGTTTCACCTGTGTGAGGTCATTTCTTGTCTGAACAGCAGCTGAACAGTCCACCAATGGCACAAGAGTAACAAAAGTCGCTAAAAATTGGAATGTTATCTGTAAAAAGGAGAGGCAGCATGTGTGTGGGGCCCTCTGGAAACCTCTGGCCCCCGGCCACCAGGCTCCGCGCCACACCGATCATACAGCTTAGAGTGGCGGTCAGCTGGTGAGGCTCAGTGAGGGTCTCCATGGCAGGATATGTCCTTAAATGAGATGAAGAACAGGAGAAAAGAGTCCCGAAAATGCTTTTATGTGATAATGTCAAGCCCATCATCAATTTACTGTCTCATTTCTAAACTAACAAGGGTTTGTTAACAAGCTGAATTCTACAAAACATCTATGAAATTATTGTACTCTTAAAAATGTTCACTCAAAATATATTAGATTGTACATAAACAAACACACACACACACACACACACGCACGCACTTACTTCTCCAGCAATGGAGGAATGACTAGATCAGGTCTGAGCAGGGCAAGGTTTTGCAGGGCCTGGGCAGCATCCAGGCTGCCAGTTTTGCTAAACATCGCCAGCAGGACGGGCTGCTTCATACTTTCCACAAAGTCTGTGATGTCCTGCTCACTGAGAAGGTGGCTCTCGGGAACAGGAGTCAGCCACGTTGGCGTCCGGTAACGTTCTCGATGCAGACGTTTCACAACACTGGCAGGTAATCGCTGAACGAGCTTCATGAGTTTCATCTAGGGATGGATGGATGGAGCAACACAAAACATTTTTATAAATAAAGAAATGAAAATAAAATATAATATTTTTTACATTATTTGAGTTTTCCCATTATTAGGTAGTGCAATGAAGAGGAGAAGGAATCATTAGGGAGAAAAGGGGGAAATGGACTTGAAATGGAGCTCTGACCATAATGATATTATTACAACTGTGAAACAGACTGAATGAACAAACTTAAGACCCATCCAGCACACACATCTGTAATGGGTCTGTAATTATGAGATTTATTTAGACAAATGTGTCATTGAAGCCCAAATAAATAAAGCAAACATGGATTAAATGTAATGTTAGTTCTACTGAGCTTTTAATGTCAAAATTGCACTACAGCTGCCATTTGATCAAAGGGATGAATATTAACTTCGACTTCTGATTCCCATCTCATTGAGTGTGCATGCCGACATATTCTTTCCTGCAATAAAACATTTTGTACCCTATGATGCTCATCGCAAACCATACAATTCATCTGCATCAAAGGAAGAATACTTTCTGTAAGCTTCTGAAAACAAATCAGATGTTCCACAGAATGCACACATCTCATCAACAGCTCAAAGGGAAAGACAAAGTAATATCGCAACAATGTGGTGACAATAAAAGGACAAAGCTTTTACAGGGTTTACTGTGACATTTGAAACTGAGAACTAGATGCCTCTCTCAGTCAAAGCAAACATGCATCCCTGGAAAGATAAACTGTCCTGTGGTCTATGAGGAGATGTTTCTAGAAAAAGAATGGCATGCATTGTTGATAGCAGCAGTGTTTCAAACGGACACAGTTGCAAGCTCTTAAAAAGCATTCTGGGAGACAGATTAGCAGCCTAAAGGCCTTGTTAATTTCGCAGTTCATTTTTTTGTTAATTAAATGGCTTATTTTAATACAATAACTTATTTGTTAATCTTTACAAATTATATATGATTTATGCTTTATATATTATTTAGCATTTTATATAATATTTATTTCTACTAAATTTTGGAATCAGAAATTTCCACCAGTAACTCACCAGCCAGCGGCCGAGGTTAGAAGGGTGGAAAAACGAGGCGATACTGTTGAAAAGGCCACTGAGCTGGGTCTGGGTCTGCTTGCTGGGCCCTCCCTAAAATACATTATTAAATATAAAGTAAATGCATTACATCATATCCTGATGGTTTTGATAACTTGATGGCATTTCAATAGCAATTAAAAGCATATGTGCTTCATTTTACCAGCAAAGCAGAAACAATGCAAGTTCATTTCTATGACAACAATCCATTATCTAGTAGTTATTCTAGTTTGTATGAATGACTTTCAAATTATATATTTAAAAAAAATAACATATCATGGTTGTTCTATATCTGACATGATGCATTCTGCATTTCAGGTTAAATGCGCCACCATTTGAAGCTTGTGGTCAGTATGACCTTTTTAAAAGAAATGAATGCTGAAAATGGTTTGAAATTCAGCTCTGACAACAAAGAATAAATTACATTTTAAAATATATTAAAATGGAAAACATTGACATTACTGTTTTTAGTCTATTCAGGGTTCCCACTCTTTTATGATTTTTGGTGTGCCGGCATAACAACAACAATGCGCTACATGTTTCTTTTCCCCTCATTTTTTTTTTCTAATTGAAGGAAATCCGTCGTAGCAACGGAAAACTTTAATCCCTGCATAAACAAAATTTATTTCAAATTTAATTCAAGCACTTTCAAGGACCTATGTTTGTTTTCAAGTACTTTCCAGGCCTTGAATCCATATGTCTGAAATTCAAGTACTTTCAAGTACTTTCAAGAAGCGTGGGAACCCTGTCTATTTGTGATCAAACAAATGCAGCTTTGGTGAACACATGCGACTTCTCTTTCATTAAAAATTTTATTGACTCCAATTTCCAGACTAATAGGATGGATTGTGCAAGTGAAAGCAGACTGAAAGTGTGTCGTAAATTTCAGGCAGTGCTCACTTAAAGCCCTTATCATGCAGCTCTGGAGGGAGAGTGGTGGGCAGGAAGAGCTCAAAATATCCCATCGCCTTCTGCATGGTCACATCAAATGGGCACATCAGAGGCCTCCACTCTTCCAGCATCTCCTGTGTGGCTGATTCTGGGAAATATCTGCACGCATTCATACAAAGACACACAGAGAATGATTTTGTGAAGCGCTGTTGCTGATATCTGACCTCAAGCATTATGCACAGATATGACAACACTAAAACTTTGTGATGTGCCATTTAAATGTCATGGTAAACTGTATGCAGCACAAGTAAACTCTTATTAACTGGATAACTGGTTAAAGTGCTTTAGTTAAAGGATTACAGTCTGCCGGTCTAAGCCACATCAGGAATCCTGACATACACCATGCGGCACTTCCTGTCGACCATTTACTGTCCTGTCCATGAGCATCCTGCAAACAGTGCGTTGTCTGTACAAAGGCATGGACTTCTCTGACCATTGACATGATAACCTTTTCTGTAATCCTACTGTAGATAAGCTGAGAGTAACTTTGAACATGCAGCTTCACCTCACCCTAAATAACTTCCATAGAGTCTCTTCTGTGTTCAGGTGGAAACAAGGCAAGCATACATTTTTCTCTTTCTATTTCAGTTAAAATGTCATAAAAAGATAATTATTAAACAGTTTTATCCCAGTTGTATGGATATGATGTCCTTGTTGACCTCCTGCTGAAAAAGGGATATCACTGATCCTAGCAGAGTCAGGAAACTCCCACAAAGCCACATTAAAAGAGCATTAAACAGGATTAACATCCTAGGGACAAACTGAGGAACTATTAGGGCACAGTTTATATGTACACTACCTGTCAAATATGAGTAGTAGTAATCAAAAACTCCCACTCATCCACAAAGCTAATTTTAAACATTTAAGATTTTTTTAAGATAATTGAAAATATACATATTTAGTCAAGTGTGTCCAAACTTTTTACTGATAGTGTAACTTTGATTAACCTGCTTGAAAAATAAAGCAGACAACCCTTGCACAAAGCATACTCACATATGTAATGAAATCTATAAATTTACATGTTTTTTTTATTTATTTTTTTACATTTGACATGTTTTAATTCTTTACTGTCACTTGTGATCAATTTACTACATCATTGCAAAATAAAATATTAATGTTTAAAAATATCTTATTGACCTTAAACCTTTGATTAGTAGTGTATGTCAGGAATAAGGAAAAGAAGATATGCAAGTAAGTACTTACGGTCTGCAGTTCTTGATTAAAGCCTTCAGAACTGCTTCCACTGAGCTGCAATCTACATATAATATTAATTGTATTTTATAATTATTATCATTATTATTATTTCCTTACACAGATTTCAGAACCTCTAAATTACATAAATGGTCAGCATTATGCTGTTACAAAAAAATTGTAAAAAGCAGCAGCTTTGGCAGTAAAAGAGATCTAGTTACTTAAAATTTTTTAATGTTTGGTATTGTCTATTATTTAAGTAATACAGGATAGAAAATACCTAAAAGTATACCAAAGACATAAAATGCATATTAGCAGCAAAGTTAGACAAGGATTCATTTTTGCATAAGGAGTATTTCAACAGAAACTACAATTTCAAAAAGTCAAATATGCCAACAGCTCAAAAATCACCTAATCATCTAATGAAATAAATTTTTATTAAACCAAAGAACATCAGTTTCTTTGATGTGTATAGTATGAGATTGAGAAAATAAATTGATAATCAACAAGGAACAAAAAGGCAAACGGACATTGCTGTTGTGCATCAGCAGTGCCTAATAAACCAAAATATCATGCATCCACAGCAACAAATTAAAGTCAAATAAAGTCAAACACCACTGAGACAAATAAAATCCAGTGAAACATTTAAAAATTATTGAGTGCACTTTAAAATATTAACATAGAGTAACATGGTCCTTACCACCTCTGAGCAAGTTGAACAATTATGTGCTTAGAGGAAGAGCGTGGCCGCAGAGAACTGAACATGAGAGGAGAAAAAAGACAGGCTCACTCAGCACTTCCTGTGTACTATTCTCAACATCAGCACCAGTTCTAAGATGTGTGCAGATTCCCAGAATTAGGAGTGACAAAATATGTCTAGTCTTGAAATTTCTTCAAAATAAGAAGCTGGGATGGAAGTTATGAGGGTAACTATATGATTTATAACCTGTTTTATTGAGTAGATATGCAAAATGGATCGCTTTAGAAAGTGTTTTTTAAAATGTATTTTTAAAATATTGTTGAGAAAAATCGACTTTTTATAATGTTTCTGATGGGATATGGATGTACCTGGGAAACCAGTTCAGGCCGAGGTGCTCTGTCTTTGAGTACAGGATCCTGTCCTGCAACTCATAAAGTGGTCGCCATGGCAATTCTAAGTCCTCTCTTGAAAGCAGTTCCTTCTTCCTGTAAGAAAAAATAATTTAAATGAGATGATTTTCTTCACACGGTTTGTTTTTGTCATAGGTGTGGGTGGATATTCAAATCATGAGCTGTTCTGTCACTCTGCAATTACAAATTAGCAATACAAAAGAGATAATGTGCAGTCATAACTGCATTGCTGTGATGTGAAGAACCAATTATTACATGGTTACATAAACAAATTTTAATATTTTAATTATTGTATTATCTTAATTGTAGACTAGATTCTCCTAAAAAAAGTTAATTACAGTTAATGCAGAAAACAATTGACCAAAAAACTAAAATAATGGTACAATTATATTATAATATTAATTTATATATCATTATTAATCTGCAATGCAAGTTACTTTTTCTAGAAACTATCTAAAATGACTAGCTTCAGTGTATGATTTTGTATATTTGTTAGGGACTTCTAAGCCTCTAGTCATCTGTCAAAATTTCACAAACATAAATAAAATAATATGTATACAAACAAACACACACACATATATATATTTTAATCTTTTTGGCAGGGCTAAAGAGTTTGCAAACTACTACAGAAATACCCTACACTAGTGACATCATCTTTGTGCTTCCAGTGTTGATGTCATCATTATGGGACTAAATGAAGGGCATGTAGGAAGTCCATCTTACTTCAGCAGGGTGATGAGGAGACGGGCGAAGCACTGCATCATACTGATCTCCAGTTTGGGGATGGTGACCAGCTCATACAGCAGCTTGACAAAGTGCACATGGTCCTCTATGCTGAACTTCCTTCCATACAGTCGCATATATCTGAAGGACACAAACTCAGTGTTTTTTTTAGTATTAAAATGTTTTAAAACATTATTTAAACTATATTGTGTCTCCATCTGATATTAACAGTTAGGATGGCGAGTTGTATGGTATGAAATAGATTGGCAGTTGCCAATTCTAGAACTGACAGTGTTATAGTTCAGACCCCGTGCATGTTTACTGTTTACAGATGAGTATTGCATCTCATAGTCACACGTAGTCTGACATCAGTGACTGTTTGTGCTTGTTGTGCTCTCAAAATAGCATTGAGGGGCGAAAACATAACCAAGTCATTTTGCAATCGCTGACAAAATATTTGGCTTGTTAAACACCAGTTAATTGCTTACTTTCACTGCAATGAAGACTCAAACCAATAACTGAATCTCAGTAAAAAATTTGTATCAAAATATAATGTTGCCAACTTGTATATGTCAACATTGGATAAAAAACTCGAGGTAATAGGGATTTTATACGCGGTAAAAATACACACGTACTCTTTAAAGCGTTCCAACTGGATTTGTTTGAATGACGCAAGTGAAACTAAATTAGTGACTACGCATGCGCAACACCAGTCAGCGCGCACTCTCGATTAGCGCTCTATTTAAAACGCACTGGAGATATTTTTTACCGTAGTCTTTATCCTCCTAAATACAAAGGGGTCATTCGGTGTTCCTGTGCCTCTAAATAGAGCTGCCTAGGAACATCACATTTCCTGTTTATGATATTAGGATTAAGGGAATGTATTCATGATTAACAATCATAGGCATTCTAGGAACAACCCCATAATTTAATTTCGTTGGCAGACGAAACTATCCGAATGAGTCCTGTATAATGTTTGATGAGTTAATGCCTCTTAAATACTTACGTGGAAAGTTTCCTCGTCCAAAACAAGACACCTGGCCATATCTCTCTAAGTTGGA